GATGTGGTAAGCTCTTCTACAATGGTGATGTGGCAAGCTCTTCTGTGGTGATGTGGCAAGCTCTTCTACAATAGTGATGTGGTAAGCTCTTCTATGGCGATGTGGCAAGCTCTTCTATGGTGATGTGCTAAGCTCTTCTACAATGGACTTGTTCCGACTCCTGTCCTGCACCACTCGACTACCGGCCAGGGTTCATGCCAGGCATCAGCTCCGGGCGGTCGAGCTGCATCCCCCTCAGCAGACACAACTGCTTCAGCCCCTCCCAGTCGTCGCCCTCCTCATCGCCCCTCTTCCACAGCTCCTTGAAGCCCCAGGCGCAAGCAATGCGGTCGAGAGCGGCGCGCTCATCAGCCCTGACATAGCGATCCAGCAGCGGCACACCCGGGCGCCAGACGACCCTGTCGTGGTCGTCGTTGTACGTGGTCAGCGCGACAAAGCCGAGCGTGCCCGTGCACACGACATAGGTGCTTATCCCCGCGAACGCGTACATTTTGAACAGCCAGGGTTCAATCAGCCCGCTGTACACGCTCAGCTCCTGCGCGACCATGTAGATGGCCAGCGGCGCCATGGCGGCCAGCACGCCCGGCACGCCTAGCCTCGTCAGCATCCGCCGTCGCGTCCAGGCTGGGGCGCGCTGTGCGTGGTCGACGACCGACAGCGCGAGGGCCATGTCTTTTGCTTCGATGGCGGCCGTCAGCGAGGCCTCGGCGAGCTCCTCGGGGATGGCCTGCGAGGGGGCTTTGGGCGACGGTGCGGTGAAGACTGGCGGCGACGACCCTTCGCGCGGCACCGGCTTGTGCGCGTACAGGTACAGCATCTCGGGGATGGCGTGCGCGCGGTTCAGAAGCCGCTGCAGCCGGATGTAGACGGCGAGCACGCTTGACCCGACAAAGACGGCGGGGTGCTTGAGGAGCCGCTCCGCCAGCTTGGAGAGGTGCGTCGGCGTGGGCAGGTCGTGCAGACCCAGCGGCTTCGCGGGCGTCGTGCGTGGCTGCGTCGGCTGCGGCGGCTTCGGCGGCGCGTCGCTGCTGAGTCCGGACAGGATTGCGCCCGCCGAGCTCTGTCGTATGGTCGCCTTCGTCGGCGGCGGTTGTCGCGCCCGGATCGCTATGGCCGAGCGCGCGAGATCCTCCATGTTCTCGAGGATCCCGCAGATGGTCGCCTCGGATTCCACCCTGTTCGAGCCCAGGACGTGTCTGACCTGCGCCTCCACGTCCGCCAGGCCCGTCTTCACCGCGGCAATCGCGTCGGACGTCGACTGCGGGCTGACGACGGCGGCCTCGGCGAAGTCGGCCTGGTCGACATTGCGCCACCTGGTCTGGATGCGGCGCGCACATGTCCGGCGTGTAGCAGTTGGTGTTGGTGTTGGTGCGGGTGCGGGTGCAGGGCGCCGGGGCGCGAGGGTCGATGCAGTCAGGAACGCGCGCCGCGCTGTGGGCTGCTGCAGCAGGTAATCGCACAGCTGGCACACGGGCCGCGACGGACGGCGCAGTGGCAGGCTGCCGGGCTTCATGGCGGCGGCGGCGGCGGCGGCGGGCGGATGGCGTGCTGCGATGAGGACGGCGGGCTGCGATGAGAATGGCGGGCTGCGATGAGGATGGCGGCCAGGTGCCGAGCAAGTGACAAAGGCTGAGGCGCGCGCGCCAAGGAGCTGCCATGTCGACTGTCGGCTGTCGACTGGCGGCAGTCGACTGGCGACTGGCGACTGGCCGAGCGCCTTGCAACCCAACCACGAACACGACACACCACTCGGCACACGCACGCGCGGCCCCAGACAGCAGGAGCCCGCCAGATTGCCCGCACTATCCGTCGCGAAGACAAGGACGCCCGCACATCACGGGGACGCTCACGGGGACACTCGCGGAGACACACACGGGGACACACGACACAATGCCTGGCCCTCCACCTCCCCCTCCGCCCATGCCGCCCATGGGCCGGGGCGCTGGTGGACCTCCGCCGCCGCCGCCAATGCCTGGGACAAAGGCGCCAGGAGCGAAGCCGCCGTCGGGTGCCGGACGCGTATGTGCACATGTCGACTGTCGGCAGTAGCAAGGCACCGGGCGCCCGCTGACGTGTGACAGGGAGCCCTGCTGGGTGACATATCAAAGGGCGCAAGGCTACGGAAGGTCGGGGTGGTCAACGACCGCTCAGCACCAGCGGTCGGAAAGGTCAAAGATGTCGCGCCGGCGATTGGAGGTGCGCCGCCTGTGCCTGGCATGGGGAGGCCGCCGGCGCCGCCGGGAGCACTGGCGCCGCCTGTGCCTGGAGGGGGCAGCCGGGCGAGAAGCAACAGCGACACTGGAGGCGACGGCGCGATGGCGGCGCCGCCTCAGCTGGGCGGACTGTTCGCGGGGGGAATGCCGAAGCTGCGGAAGTCTGGCGGCGTGAAGACGGGCGCCGACACAAAGTCGCCGTACATGTCCGACCCAGAGACGGCGCGACCACCACGGGGCGCCGCACCGAAGCCCCCGGGCGCCCCTCCGCCTCGGCCTGGCGCGGCGCCGCCAGCACCACCGCCGTTCCCGGGCGCGCGTCCACCGCTCAGGCCTGTGGGCTCGCTGGCCTCGAGCATAAGCGGGAAGCCGAAGCCGCCGCCGCCAATTGGCAAGAAGCCGCCCATGCCTCCTCCGTCGTCTCGAAAGCCGTCTGGCATGGCCCCGCCGCCGCCAGCATCGCCTGCTCGAGCGCCGCCTGTCCCCGGCGGCGCGCCTCCCGCGCCTCCGCCGCCGCCGCCTGGTGTCGTGCCTCCTGCGCCGCCGCCGCCGCCGCCGCCACCGCCGACAGCTGCGCCGCGAGCCCCTTCGCGATCGACGCCCCCTCCTCCGCCGTCTGCACCGCCGGGCAGACCGCAGGAAGACGACGACGACTACGACCCATACCGCTACGACACGTCGCGATCTCGGTCGCCCTCGGCACCAGCGCCGCCACCGCCCACAAACGGCCACGTCCCCTCGCTGGCAGAACAGGCAGCCCGGAATGCATTCGGCCAGGGCCGCGCCACGCCGGCAGCCCCCCCACCGCCGCCCCCAGGCGCCGCGCCAGCCCCTCCTCCGCCACCAGCATCAGCAGCCACACCGCCGCCCCCACCCCCAAGCGCTCCACCAAGTCGACCCACATCACAGGCCCCGCCGCGCTCAACAATGGACGCGAGCATGTACACGCTGTCCAACGGCGGCGCGAACCTGCGCAGCCCCACGGGCACGCTCGGCGGCGCCGGCCACAAGGGCACCATCACGCCCGTGCACGACCTGCGCTGGCGCTTCCAGCCCGAGAACTCGTTTCCCGCGCCCCGCCCGTTTACGGGCGGCGCGAAGCGCTACAGGGCGGGTCGCGGCAGCAGTGTCCCGCTGGTTCTCAGCGCGTACGAATAGGAGCGCATGCGTGAGGGCAGGCGCGGGGAGAATGTGCGGGCGGCGCCGCGCACGAGGGCTTGAGACGGTGGAGCGGGGGCGTTATTGATAGCGTTGTGTAGATGTGCGGCTCTTCTTATCGCTATCGGGCTGCATGCCGTGACTGGCGTAGCAGACGGCGAGCTGGGGAATAGACTGGAATTGAGGGCGCGCCCTTGGGGGTGCGCCCTTGGGGGTGTTGGTAACGCTTGGTTCTCCCTCTGTGAATGCCTCGTCTGGTTGTAAATGCTGCGCAGGGCAATGACATGGCTTCTTCTTCTCTTGTGTTTACGGACCGTGGATGGGGAGGGAATTGGCCTTGACAATGGCAGGCCTTGACAATGGCAGGCCTTGACAATGGCAGGCCTTGACAATGACAG